GCCAGGCCGCCACCTGCCCAGATGAGAGGTGAGAGGGGTGCCCCCCCCCCCCTCACCTCTCACCCCTGCACACGTCGTCACGAACGTGTGCTTCACAAAGTTTTAATCACGATAGTAAGTTGTGTAGTCGTAGCGAAGGATTACCCATCCGGATATGTTTTGAGCAGGCAGAGGAAAAAAGAAAGTCGTGGGAAGCCATCTCGAAACGATTAATTTAAATGGGCGTTTGATTGGGGATTAGGGTGGTGAACCGCGAGTCAAAATGCGTAATCGTAATGCATCGTGATGCGTGATGGTCAGGTCACTTATCGGGGGAAAATAGGGCTGGACGCGTTCTCCTAAAACTTTCAGCAATCAAACCCGTGCAAAATGCAGATATCAAGAGAGCATGCATCCCAACAATATACAGGGACAGTGACACAGTGACACCCTGTATTCCTGTATGCACTACACTCCAAGTTGGAAAGGACACTTTTGTATCAAGCGAGGATGCGTTCTTAAGCACATTTCAAATAGTGATAGATGCAAACTTGCCTCTCTCTTAACTAGACACAAACACAACAAAAAACGTTATTTGTACTGATGCGCTAGGTACAAAATGAAACTTTTCAGAAACAAATTTGCACCTATTTGAGATGTGCTTAAGAACGCATCCCCGCTGTATAGAAAAATGATCTTTCCCATTTAGAGTGAAGTTCATTCTCTATGGTGTAGTTTTTGTTATGCTCCCAAAACTCAGTTGTCTACCATGCACTGTACGGCGCATAACACATTATACTTAAGCTCAGTACGAAGAACTGCTAAATTTTAATGTTCTTGCATTATGTTACATATATTTTTTATGGTGGAAAATTCTCCCTTTGTTTTCCCATTCTACACACGCGTTTCAACTTAGGCCTACATTAAGTACGATCGCTCTCGTTTTGCAAAACACGATGTCGGGATCGTCTTATCAGTAGTATTGCCGCCCGTGCTCTCGGAGGGCTTCCAGTTTCGTAGATCAGAAATCGCCTGCTCTCTGCGGCTTACGTGATTCACCCCCCACCGAAACGGTTCGTGGAAATCCTGCTAACTCTCATCAAAGTATGATAAAAGAAGTTGGGTGAAAAAACTAAAACTAAATTAAAATGCGTGTGTGCGTTCAACTCCGCCGTTTAGATACTATAAGAGAGAGTTTTTAAAATTTAAAAAGACTGCCTCTACTCACGACTTGTTGAATGTGCTTCATCTTGAATCAAAGCTAGATACTTATTTTAGTAAAAGGGCAATTTTTGTAACTGGTCTGGCCTTTCTAAGCAGAAGGGTGGTTGGTACACATCAGCTCATGTCAGGGAAGAACACCTTAGCAGGCCGCTGAAAAATTAATTCTCTGCACGTTACTCGTGTTTGTCAACTGTCTCTCTCTCGTTCTTTCAGACGGCCTCCTTCTTTTCAGACGTAAACTGACAGATCTCAATCTCCCTCGCAAATACATCTGACGTAAGCGTAAGCTCTTCTTGCTCTG